CAAGGTGCCATCGATTGTTTGTGCCAGAATTTTCACCTTAATCCATCAATTCTATTCGATTTTGATCGTTTTTATTGGTTGCCAGCCGAGAAAAAAAAAATTTAAAATCCACACACGTTGCAAAAGTGGATCATCAGCGTGCAAAATTAAATATTAAATTGTTTTCTTTCCCATTTTCGGACACTTGATATCGATATACAAAACGATGTTCGAGCAGCAAACGGAGGGTTGCACGCATAGGGAAAAAAATGCAAATCATGTTCAAAAGTTGGTTTTCCTATTGTCTTCCATGTGGTGGAAAAGATGGAACCCGATGATCAACAACGGAACATTCAAAAAGCACTGGCTTAGCCCGCAAAAATAAATCATAAATCTGAAATTTCATTCAATTAAAGTGTGTGCGCTTCTTAGTCGTTTGTTCTTTTTTGGCCGAGAGTGTGCGTTGAAATAAGACCGAAACGAACACAAGCATTTATTTTATGCGTGCTAAATGATAAAATGCCTTCACAACTGTTGTTAAATATTAATTTACCAATAAAGTTGCCAGAAATGATAACTCCAACACTTGCAAGTCGTCGTCGTCGTCGCTGTCGCTGTTGTTGTCGCCATCATCGACGATGTTGGGATTTCGTTTGGCGTTCGCTCGCACTTGCTACGCCAAAGCATTCGCGAAAAATTATTCCGCCTATGCAAGCCATTTAAAAGCACGTTGGAATGAAACAGCTTAAATGTTCAGTCGCACTCATACCAGCATCGTACAAGGCTTGTGGAGTCTTTTAACTTTGAGTAACGAACGCTTTGTAATGAGTGAGCGAAGGGAGAGCGAAGAGTGAGAAAGAGAGAGAGACAGAGTGGCCAAAAATCGTCGTTTTGCCTTAATGCCGTTTGCCAAAAATGGTGATGTGTTTCATGTGGATGTCGGGAAGCGCGTACAAAATTACGATTAAGCATAAAAATTTCGGGCGCATTCAAGGGGAAGGACACCAACGCTAGTTTCACTAATTTATTCTATTGTTTCCTAATATATGCTATTTTTGCTAGTTTCTCTCAATAAAAGTGCTATTTTTTGCTAATATTTCCTATGTGCAACGTGACAGTTTGACAGTTCACGTACAAGTAATACTCATCAAGTTATTGTTGTATGTTTGGAAAGAAAGCAAAAAAATTATATTTTGGCAATTTTTCTAATGTTATTTCATAGAAAAGAACAAATTGTTCCAATTAATTTCATAAAATAACTCGAAAACTTTGTTTTAAACGGTTAAAAACAGTAAATAAGAAATCGCTATTTCTTCAATAATATTGTTATTTTTTGCTATTTTCCTCTAGTATTTATATGAACTTCAAAAAAATAGCTAATGGTGTCTCTCCCCATGGGCGCATTCCATCACCACCATCACAACTTTCAATTTTCAAAATGTAGTATCACTTGCTCGCGCGCACGCTTCGTGTCCGCCAACTTTTTGTATTTAGCGCCTTTGTGAACGTGATTTACTTTTGCTCAGTCACATTAATTTTCCTAAGTTTTGTGAGCGTAAACCGTCAGAAACACGGATGCAGGACGAAATGAATGAACATAAATATATTTATACACATAAAAAATATTTGCGGCCATCATCCGTTGACATGAGAAACCAAAAATTGCACCACACCACCATATTTATCGTTAGTATAATCGCTGGAAACTTGTTAAAGAATATAAAACGCTTCGCGATGAAAAACAACACGATGGTGTAACAGTGAGTGTAGAGAAGCAAAAACCACATAGTCATAGAGCTATATAGCTCCGTATGCGGAGACAATGAAGCCAACTCACATTTCGTAGGCAACAATAAGAGTGCTAGAGAGCGGCTAGCATAAGCACTGTATTCCTTTTTAGCTTGGTCCTCCAATTCCTTGCGCCCAGGTCCTTTAAACGATGCCGATTTAACTAACGCCGATATGAAACACTAGACGATTTAATTCAAGAAACACCCCGAACACCAAAAATACTTGAGCTTGAATTCTCCCCCAAAAAACTTTTTATCCGAGTAGTTAAGTGATATGATTATATAATGGTTTTTCATAGACGAATGAATGTAATTCGTTTAAACAACAACAATAAGAACAACGACATCGACACAAAACAACAAGAGAAAAACAGCAACAACGATAACAACGATATAACACCAACAGAGCGCATTTATCTAGTGTAAATGAAAATATCTTTGGCTATTAAGATGAAATGAATATTATAATAATCACACAAGAATGAAACAACATATTTGCTCTAATACATTAAAATTTACAATACTAATAATAGTATAGTAATACGCTAAACGATATACAGAGCAATCCAGTGTGCACCATTCCACAATTGAACAACAACAAGAGCAACAAAGACAATAGACATTTGACACTTAGCACGATTTTTTTTTATAATAATTAGGTTATTGTTATTGTTTTTTTTCTTCTGTGAGTGTGTTAAAAAAATTGTTTAAAATTTGAATTGCTGAACTTTCTGTGAACGAACTTTCCAGTTCAACGCAAATGACTACGGTAAAAATGTCACAACAACGATAACAATTTGGAATACAAGAAAGAAAAACGTGACGAAAGCAGAGCTTTTTGGAGACGGTCAACAATCATAATAGATCAAGCAACAGCAACGAAAAAAAAGAATCAAGTATTTTCCCGTTGAATATAATGACAATGAAATTAATTCGAAACGTTTCGCGTGAGACCGGGGCCCAGAAACGCGTAGTTATGTTTTGTGTGCTGCCACAAGTAACTACGCGCCCCACGTAGTATCTTTTACGATCTATTACGTTTCCCAACAAAAATGAAAAATATCTTCAGTTGTTTTATGATTTCCTGTAAATGTTTTTTAATAATAATTTCGCATTTTTTTCAAATGTTTTTTTTTTCAAATTCCTTTTTCAATGAACATTATTTGAATCTAAAACTCGTTAAGATAAGTTCTATGACTTTTTACCACTTTTCCGTTCAATGATTCCTGGATTTTTCAATTTGTTTTCTCACGCCATTGTAAATTCTACTCAAACTAGGCCATTAAAACCCATGTCTAGAAACTTCATTTTCTATATAAAAATTATCCAAATAAATTGAATGAAATGTTAAATGAATGTTCAATTTTACGTGATTTTACGTTTAGCATTGCTACACAGCATGTTTTGTTGATCTCCCAGTATATAACGTACTAGAATAAACTGACTGAAACTAGTACAATTAGCATTTGCCACCATTTTTATTCAATTATTTTTCATATTTTTGACATTTTGAACAATCAAAATAAAATTGAAGTGAGGTTTATTTTGTCACGAGTTGTTTTCCATAAACATATGTGCCGTAAAAATTACAAATTAAACTTTGTCGAACAAATCCCAATCTGAATACATTCTACTGTTTACTGAAATAGAAGTTTTATTACATGCTTCAAAGTCTGTACGGAAATATAAATAAACTGATTAAGTATACCATGACGCTCGATGCATTGTATTGTAAACTATACTTTACAAGTAAAAATGATCAATTTTCATCCAATTTACTTGGAATTTGGCATAGATAACTTTTGTGATACAAAAATAAAATTCCAATATCCAAATAGCAGTTATATCGGGAGAAAGGCATAGTTGCAGAATGAAATCTTCAATTTTTCACTGATTTTTAAGGTGGACCAAAAAATTTGTTTGGGAAGTACTCAAATAGATTGTCCGATTGTATTGGAATTGTATCTGGCAACTGTCGTGAGTAAAGAAAAGTTCCGCATTTGGTAGCGGTTTTCGAAGAAGTTCTGTCTTTTTTGAGCCCATTTCTATTCATTGATTCCTGGATTTTTCATTTATTCATTTCACTTCAATCTCGACTCTATCCAAACAAGGCCATCAAAACCAATATATATTGGCACTTGATTTTCCTTGTAGTTCTTTGTAAAATGATTGTTATCATCTCTACAAAGAAGGAAAATCAACTGAATTTGAAGTGAAATGAGTGAACGAAAAATCCAGGAATCAATGAATCGAAACGAGCTCAAAAATAATAGAAGACATTTGGAGATTGCTACCAAACTCTCAGATCTTCATTTCTTTGCTCATGGCAGTAGCCAAGAGCAATTCCAACACAATCGGATAAGCTATTCAAGTCCAGTATAAGAGAAAAATTGAGGAAACTGTCCATTGAAAAATCAGAAATTCTACCTTGTAAAGTATAGTTTACATGTGCAGAATGTGTACTACATAGTGAACTTCAGATGCATAGCGTATGTAACAAGGCATTGCACTTGTTACGCATATATTTTATATATTAAAAACAAGAATTTGCCATTTTCCATAATTATTTTCCCTCAAATTCCACTTTGTAAAGTATAGTTTACATGTGTAGAATATGTGCTACTAAAATCAAATATATACACGGTACATGACGACATAATATTTTTAAAATCAAATTTGAATTATACGCTATCGAATCAAACTTTCAATGAATAATGTGTAATTGAAATTTGAACTTGAAAATTGTTGTGTTGTCGTGTTCCGTGTATAGAACTGAATTTCACTATGTAGCACAAATGCTAAAAAAGTGCTGTACTTTGCAAAGTAGAATTTCCAAGGTAGAATTTGTAGTACTAGATCCGCTGTCAAAGTATACTTGCGTTCACTACGTTGGGCGCGTAGTATACGTTTGAAGTTTCGTTTCCACGCCCCGCGTGAGACAGAGAAGTGAAATCCAAGTGCGAGCTACACGTTGACTCCAAAAAGCTCTTCGACATCGTATTTTTTGTTGTTGGTACACTGACACACACGCAAATAGGCAAACACAATTAAGCACATTTTTGCAAAAAAGGAACTCGTCTCACAATCGTGCTCAATTTCCATTCATTCATTCATGTACTCACTGTCACAAAAACACATTCATTCTCTAAGAAACATTAAACTGTTAAATAGCATATTTTTCGGTAGAACCAAGGGGAGTAAGAGAGGATAACAATGTGCAAAAAAACTTACTTTTTGATAAAATTTTAATTGCCGGAAGGAAGCAGCCACTGGCGTGCGATGCTACTGTTGACAGCTACTTAATCGTTGGTGATACACCGACCCTCGTACCCATCGCTTCTTCTTCTTCTTCTTCTTCTTCGTTGCCTTTTACACTTTATTTAACGGTGCGCTTGTCTCACACTCACAGTTCCAATCGTATTCATTCACTGTATTCTGTCTTTTACTTCTTCTTTTTCGTTTATGACTTGAACAGCAACAACAACAATAAAAAAACACACTTGAAATGATACCATTCAATATAAGATATTCACAATATCGGCACACGAAAAATGCGTTCGCCTTCGACAAACCGTTTTTCGACGATAAAGCACGATTGTCCTATGTTTGTTTAAATTTGTTTTAACCGAAATCGTTTAAAGTAATCGTTCGACTGGCACAACAATGTTCGTAAATAGAAAAGTGGGGAAAAGCCACCGATATTCAATCATCATCGTCATAGTCAAGCCAACATGAGTCACTTGTTCATATTATATATATTGTAAAATGTTTCGGAAATATCGCAATCGGGGTGCTTCGAATAATAATGTTATGTAGGTAAAAGCACAGAGAAAAACCGACCTAATTTTTGATGTTTCGATGGTGTAATAATGCGTATGCAAATTTCCTTTGTTGACTGTAAATATTTTATTATAACGTTTTTTGCGTTGTGCTTTGTTCGTCACTTTCGTGTTCTCTTTCTCTGTCTCTTTCACACTCCCTCGCTTTTGTTGTCTTTTTTTGTCGTATGTCCTTTTTTAGTTCGTACTTTATTTATGCGTGTGGCAAGTGGTTTACTGTTGCCTTTCATTCAATCGTTCGAATTCAATTTGCTCGGTCGCTGTATCGTCGTTGTCGTCGTCGTCTTTGTCAACCACGCTTGGAAAACGAAACCGAGCAGAAATTTTCAGTCGACGTGCCGCAACAAATTTATATGGTACAATATTTTTTGTTCTTTCTCTTTTCCTTTTTGAGGGTTGTGCGCTGGGGTGCAAAGATTTACACCATTCCAACCATTCTGATCGTGCTGCTGCTGCTGCTGTTGTTGCCGTACAATAATAAATGTAGCATCAGTGTAATGACAACAATACACCAAGTTTATAAATTGTGACGAACACGCGTCCCTCGTACCATTTGGATTAGAAGAAGTAAAAGAAAAAAGTCAAATCACGTCGACACTTTGTTATTATCATTCGTAATAGCCTTTGTAATCTAAAAAAAGGAGAGTTCAAGTTTCTTAGCCAATGTTCAAGTCATTTATTCGGAATAATGTGAGAATTTAAACACTCGCACACCAATATCACTTTAAGCTTGTAAAAGTTTCTCTTTTTTTTCGTTCGCTCTACTTGTCGTTCATCTGGTCTCTTTTGCTCTCTTTCAGTTGGCGGTGTCGTCATTCAATGGTCCTCTTCGATGGTTCACAACGAAAATCTTGCTGAATGAAGCGTACGCATTCAAATGAATTTAAACGACAATGAAACCTTGCGGTTTTACTTTAATGCGCAGGGAGGAGAGGGCAAAGTGTATTAACCGAAGGTTTGCTCGCTATTGCTGTTGAAGTTGCTACTTTTGCGCGAAATAAAGAAGGCGAACACGGTTCAAGAACAGGGATTAAAATTAATGAACAAAACAAAAGCAACAAAAAAGATGGAATCCTTTTTGTGCTTCAATTTAATTGTACTGATTTATTTTAATTTTCATAAATCTCGTCGCTGATTTGTGTGTGTGCTCACTCCGACAACAACCGCTGCGTTCATTTCTGGCATGACATTGCTCCATTGAATTTATTTTATGATCGAGTGTAACATTGTTATTTCGTGAACCACATATCAATCGATGCTTAACCGCAATGCATGATGACAAACTTACACTCTTTACTCGACTTAACTTTTTGCTCGTTTCTATATCTATCTAACACTCGAATGACTGCTCTTTAATTCGATTTGTTGTTACTTTTCATTATGTGAATCTGATCGTCATTTTAATTGCTTTGTTCAATTTCGCATGTTTGTTTATCATTTTTTCTGCTTCATTTCATTGAAATCTCGAATTTGTGTTACTTTTGTCATGCTTTTTTTTCTATCTCTTGTTCGTTCAATACACTCAATGCACACTCAGTTCTGTGTTCTCTTGGGATATGACTAGTATTTGCTTTGCGGTAGCTCGTCGTCTATGAAACCGTCCAACACACTCAATTTGCTTAGACACAATTCACTTACTGTCTGATTCTCTCTATCCGTTCCGCTTCGTTACTCTTTCACACGCTGAGTGTGGCTGGCTTCGTTTATGTCTCTGCAATTTCACCCACTCACAATTTTAATGAAAACACATTCACTGTTTTGTTCAGTCGTGTGCTAATCACTATTGTTTTTTTCTTCTTTCTACTTTTGCTTTTTTTACTGTCGTTTCTGTTTAACAAACTTTTGCAAATTATCCAATCATTTAGTTTATCACACAATTGTCTGTCACTCAATTTGGATTGGCTCACCTGTCGCCGCACCGCGTTGTATTTTTTGTGTCATTAGCTATTTGCTTTGCGCATTTAATAAGCAAATGTTTGCGTTGATTTATTTACTGTTTCGTCCTGTAGTAGTCGCTTTTTTTTAGTCTTTCGCTCTATCACTCTGCCAATATGGCAAATGGCAGACGATGAATGGCAGTGCGCGTGATTTTATTAACAGTTAGTTAAAAAACTATTAGCAAATGTGTGTTTGTCGTTAAGGAAAAATTGACTATGTTACTAGAGCTATTGAGTAGTAGTAGTGGTATCGGTCGTATAATACGCATGGAAAATGTAAACATGACCACTTGAACGGATACATTTATTGATGCATATCATAATTGCTACTTTACGCCTGTATCTCATATGTCATGTTCGCCTGTGTTTCGCTTTATTTGCGTTAATATGATTATAGTGATGCATATGACATATTTACAGCTTGCAAATTCTTCTTTTATTGGATTTGCTGCTTTGGTTGTCGTTATTTATTATCCAACTTTGATGCCGAATATTTACGGCAGTGTAATCGTTTACGTTTTCGGTTTTTCGTTCGTTCGTTCGTTCCAGGTTTTCGTCGATTTTACAAGTCCCAAGCGGTAGTTTTTGAGCTTAAGTCAGTAAGTTTGAATTTGAAGTTTTTCCGCCGCTGTTAAGTGGAAACATTTCGTTTCTTTTTTTGTTCGAAAACTACGTTTGGTGTGTTTTTCTCTCCTCTTGTCTCGCGTTGTTCAACGAATTAAAAAAAAAACGTACAGAAAAATCAAGTAGAGAACCAGTTGAGATCTCTCGATGCTCGTTGCGCTTTTTCCTATGTGTGTTTGTTTTGGGAAGGATATGGGGAGGATGACGAAAGGGAATGGAGAAAAAAACAAAATTTCTGTTATTTTCAGCGTTTTTACAGTTTGTTGTCACACAGAAATTGCTATTTTATCTGCTTCAATTTAAAGCGGATTTTGGTTGTTGCACTACAACGAAATCTACTTTGTCGCATACTAGAACTAAGTGAAGGATTCCTTTCGCTTTTGGCTGAATCTTGTTCGCTGTGTTATTTCTCTCTCTCTCTCTACATTTCTCTTGTTCGTTATTTAAATTCTTTTTGTGCTTCATTTTTCGTTTGCAACGTTTTGTGATAATGCGCCAAAAAAAGAAAGAAACGGCCGCCGAAAAAAAAGCCGAGTCAACGATGAATGGGAAAAAACAGACACAACGGAAAATACTTTTACATTAATAAAATTATATTTGTGTCTTTTTTCGCCAATGGGCCGCCCGTTTTTACCCAAGCGCATTCGCTCTCTTGCATTCTATCACAAGCTTGCTCTCGTTCGCTCTATCTCTATCTCGCTCGCTCATTTTTTATAAATTTATCGCAGTTGCATTTTTTTCGTTTTCTCCCGTCTGTTTGTGTGTCTGAATCAAGCGGAAAGTACAACAGTCACACACAATTCAGTTGTGTTCTAAATTTACTTTATCGGATTGTTGTAGCAAGGGTTGTAAGAATATTTTCGTGTTTTGTTGCCGCGTTTATATTTTTGCCGCTCTGTGTGAAAAGTGACTCTCTTAACCTGTTCGGCCAATGCATTCGGTATGCATTTAGCGTAGTGACTCTTTTTCACTCTCTTTCCTTTTTTCAATGTGATTTAATGCAGAAATTTCACCCGAAAATTGTACGATTCGCACTTAGTTTGGTTTTTCTGTCATTCGCTTAATGGTTTTCGCTTGAATGTTTGCTCCATCGTGATTTTATAGTTTGTGTGTTTTTTTCTTCGCTTCTGGTTTTTGGTGCTCGGGAATATGAGAGAAATTGGCACGCGCTTTTCTATTATGTTTTACCATTGATTTTGCCATCGTGTATATCGTCTTTTTTTTCCCTTCATATATATTCTCTGTCGCTTTATTCGTAGATAAATTTCTACAGCCCTTATCTTTCTTGCCAATACTTTTTACCCACTCATGACAAAAACATTAGTAATTTTTTGCGCGCGGCCCAACTAAAGTTGTGTCCAACTCCACCCGACTCACGCTCACACACAGTCTCTATTTCTCTCTCTCTCTCTCTTTCACTCACACGCACAGGCTCTCTCTCTCTATCTCGCTCTGCTTCTATATGCACTATATTATTTCCCAGTTCGCGCGCACCATTTCCCTCTCCTGTGAATAGGCGCCTGGACACATAATTTGAATATTACACATAAAATGGAAGCACATAGTTTGCCTGCTATCATTTTTGTTATTCATATTCATTTCCTTTTCGGTGTTTTTGTTTTTGCTGCCGTTGTTGTTGTTCCGATACGGCTAGGGATCGCTACTTTACTGGGCAAAGTGCATATGTGAGTCATTTATCAGGTCGCTTACACACCTCTCACATCAAACAGCATAGCATAACGACCTGATAATGACGGCCAACCGAGTAAAAATATGAAACAAGTCAAACGACACACTCGAACTCGATACATTTTACTATACGTAACCTACTAAAAATGCTAAGCCATTGAGAGTGTGTGTGGAAAAAAAGTGGGAGGAAAAAAACGTGAGCAAAAAGAATATATATACTTAATATATTGACTGAAACATAAGATCTGTTTTGTGTTTCGGCTACTTATTTTCGGATTTTCGACCATGCGAGCGGAATTTCTTTTTCCACAATGTGAAATGAACAAATTCAATTTATTTAATCAAAATTGCATGGCAAAGGCTATGAGTTTGATGAAATTGGCTTTTGTTTAATTTTGCAATAAAAACAACCAAATTCAAAGGATATCGGATTAAATAAATCGCATCAATGAAAGATTAAAAAGAATTGATTTTACTTTTGCATTGAATACAATTATTTCATCCAGCCGAATAAAATAAACAATCAATCGGCATTTTCTCACTATTTCTCTCGTTGCAAATGCAATTTTAAAGCATGTGAGAAAAAAAATTAAAATTACATACGTAAACATAAAGGCAAAAATCCAATAAATACACATCATTCATATGTCAATTGGATTTACAATTGTATGTTTCAATTATAGAGTCCTTGATTATATCCGTTTGAGTCTCCGAATGGGGCCAATATTGAGAGAGAAAAACATTATATTTGAAAAAGGCAGTCAATCGAACTTCATTCATACCAGACATTTTCATCACTAACGAGTTATAAATACGTGTTTGTTCTGCATATGTGTGGCAAGGATTTGGTTTGTGTGTATGGCAAACACGCACAATTAGTACGGTCCCATCGGATTCAATTCAATTTAACAGGTTGAAATCCAAATTAATTCGCATCCAATCAAAAACGAAAAACAAAAAAAAAACAGCTCACATAAATTCATATGAACAAAAATAACCCACAAACATCATGACACGAACACAGCAAAATGCGAAAAATATACATCAATGAATCAACACCATTCAACTTACAACATTTCGATTATGTTATATGTTCGCCATCAAATATTGCTCTGCAGACAATGTGAATGAAGCAGTAATCAGCTTGTGAAAGGGTGCTCTTTTTTCGATGTGTACATTTTTGTCTCTCTTTTTGTTATGTTTTTGCACCTCTGATAAAAATGCTATGAAATTTTCACTGTGTATCTAGAATTATTCGAGCTGTTGACCACCATTTATTCAATTTATTTTCAGAATGTTTGTATGTATGATTTTTTTTCTCTGCCCATTAAATGATCGGCTTATATTTCACACAGCGTTAAACAATTTAATGTTGTTTTACCATCACAATTTAATAAAATATTCTTTTCATTTGAATTGGTTTCAGACAAAGAACGAGAGCGTGAGCGTGCGAGCGAGAGAAAATTGCCATTGCAAAATTTGTACAAGGTGTGCTCCGAATGCAGTTTATGATCTGTCGACCGATTGTTTTGGCCTCTGCCATTGAAATTCCAATCAATGGAACAGAAAGAGAGGATGAAATAAAAATGCGAATGAATATTGAATTTATTGTAGTCTAAATATTCATTTCACATTATGTAGGAAATCATTGAAAAAATATTGACATTTTTTTGTATGTTTCACCGTGACCCCTTTCAAAAGGCATTCTCATTCATTCAGGCGCTTTTTTCTCTCTCTGTTGAGGTATAAAATTTTCTTCTACCAAACGAAATTAATAATAAATTAACAAAAGCGAACGCAGCCAGTACGGAATCGCATTAAATTCCATTTTTTATGCACAAACGGAAAAACGTTGAATTATTTTTTTCCTCTGCGTTCAATTGATGCAACATAAAATAGCAACGAAAATATTTTCAAGTGTGACGAATGTTTTTCAACTCAACCAACAATTTTTTTTTCTGAGTTTGTTTGTGTTTTTCAATATAAGTCCCAACTAATTATGGATTTTTATGTTTGATGTTTTTTAAATGTTATTTACAGTCGCGGTGACACTTCAATTTAAAAAAAAAAACGGTTTGTTTATTAAAACTTATACAATTTAAATATTTTTGTTTGATATCGAACTTGAATGGAAATCAACGATCAAATCACAATTTTTCACACTTTAACACTTGCGAACCGAATGCGAATTTCAACAAGAACAACGAAATGGAATCAAAAGAAGAATTAGAAAAACGGAAAAATTTATTGTAACCACTAAAGAGTATTCGAGTGATTATTTCTCCACTCGGTTGGATGTAAATTATCACAAACACCAAATTGAAAATTCCAAACAACCGAAAATACAATGAGAATATTTTCGTTTTTCTTTTGTAATTTTACCAAAATAACGGCACGATGTTCAAAATTTCTGTTTGCTGCCTGTCGATGACCAAAACATGCAAAGCAACTTTTCTTTTCTTTCTCTCAGTTAGGAGCAAACCTCACACAGTGCAGTGAATGGAACTGTGTGTAGCGCGCACAATACGAACAGATCGAGAATGAACGAACGAGTGAGGGACAGTTGGAGCTAGAGGCTCACACACGGTTTTCGGTGCTGCTGCTGCCGTCGTCGCTGCCGCTGCTTCTGCTATTCAAAAATGTGTGTGCTGCCTGCTTTCGAACGGTGTATGGTGTATGCGCGCCTGTATCAACTGAACACACTATCGCCACGCGGAATGTAAAGCCGATGTGAACGAAATACGATAGAAAGGAAGAAAGGCGAAAAATAAAGCAGTAGCAGTAGCAGCAACAACAGAGCGAGAAACACACAGTGAAGCGAGTATGAGCGAGTGAGTGAGAACAACGGGCTCAACGGCATCAAAGAACAATAACAAGGCAAAGTAGCAGGAGCGATTCTATAACCGAAAAATTCAATTCATTTTCATGTGGTTGTCTTCGTCTATTTATTTATTTGATTCGTATTCGTTTATTTTTGCTCGAACAGCGGCCAAGCAATTGAGGAAAAACCAAAATGAAATGAGGAAAATAAAAATGTGAACTGAAGAAAAAGGAAAAACGACAACAAAAATAACAGCAAAGAAAAAAACAACTCACTCATAAGTTCGGCTCGGTGTAGTCGTAGTCGTCGGCCGACGCAAATACTACGAACATTGAGAAAGTCACAATACAGTGAACAAAGCAGCGAAAAGCAAAGATCTCAAAATGAATCAAACCGAACAGCGAACGTTACGGATCGAGCGGAGAGAGAGGGAGAGAGGATAACGGTTTTTCTGAATGGAACAGTGTAACGCGATTGAGCGTGATTTTGGTTGCCATTGTATTTGTAGGCATTGTCAGTCGTACTGTCACATATACGATTGCTGCCAATGCTGCCGTTGCCATTCCAATTCATGTTCATTTCGGTTATGCGTCCGTGTATTTGTTTGTTGGTTGGTAGTCGGTTAATATGCTCATGCCGTTTTTCCGAAAACGAAATATTCTATGTACACTGCTAACAGACACATCAGTGTTGCTGCTGCTGCTGCTGCTGCTTACTGTTCGGTGTTTAACAAGCCCCCAGTCGGCACATACACAGCAAATATTTTCCCATTGTGTTTCCGAAATGCGCTCTCGTGCCCACTACAGATGTTTCTGTCGGCCAAGTGTATTTGTCTGCAATGTGCATGTGAATCTCTCGTATCTCATTCGAACTGGTTTGTGCATTCGAGGATTTCCCCACATTTTGCCTGTTCGTGCTAGTGTATTCGTGCGTGCGTTTGTATGTGTGTGTATGGAAGCTGGCTGCTTCACTATACTATAATGCTGCCGCATAAATATCGATGCGTTTATTTATAGTAACTACGTCTATTTTATCGGAGGCAACGATGACGACGTCAGACTATTTCACGAATTTCCTCCATCCCGTCGCGCTCGTTCGGTGCATTCGGTGAATGCGCGCGACTGTATGTGTGTGCGTAATTCCAATTTTCCCTATTCGTATACGAATCTACCGCATGAAATGTGTGCCATGGTATTGGTATGATTGCATCATGACTTGGTCGATGTGTTGGATTCGTCGCTGTTGCAGTCCAAAAAATGCATCTCATTCCGTACGATCCCAAAACGACGATGACGAAGGTGATAGCGCGATACAACACACAAAATCACAACATAAATGACGAAATACACAAATACCAACACGGCCAATCCATAGCAGCAAACAGCACTCCTGCAAACCCTGATAACTTACATCGACACCGCAGAAAGCGGATTCATCGAACATTTTGAAAAATAAGTATGTGGTTTAATACTCACCAGGATTAATGCGGAAAACAATATATCTCGTAAATCGCATCTCGTACGCTTCGGCTATGGATGGAAAAATATGCAAAGTTTGCAATAACATTTCGCAAAACAATCAAAACTTTCTCAATGGGCGTAGAGAAGGATGCCGAATGGAGCCGAAATAGAGACAGATGAATACCATCGAGATTCAAAGCTCATTGCATCTGACATTGCCGTTCATTCAATGAAAATTCAATACACTGAAGCTAATTAAATTAATTGACCTGCAAACAATTGACTCAAGTTTGTTAACATTTCATTAAATTTAATGCAAAGCAAAATCTGTTTCGCAAATCCTGTTCAACAAGGTACGAATGATATGTCGAGGTAATAATACAAATTGCTTCATTGCATTTGCATTACAGCCAACAACAAACAGCCAACAGCGGCCCGGTGCGGCGGAAAAAAAATGGAAATTAAACTTTATTCAAATGCATCTGCAGTCGGTATATGGGTATGTGGCAAATGTATGCGAGGCACGCGATATACATTCCCCGACAACTAAAAGATGGAACTGATAAATCACACTGATAATGACAGTATTTGACAAATGCAATTAAAATTTTTGCTTGCGGCGCTAGCGAGAGAGAGAAAGGGAAAAATGCGCACATACACATACTTACACCAACATGCACATTTTGTGCATTCGTTGCGTATTCTGTTCTTTCCGGTATGATCCAAACGCAACCTCATTTCATTCATAAAAAAAGCGATGTGCACACGCAACACACACACTCTTTGTGTTGCTTGCTAGGAAAATACGGAAAACTTTTCGGAATAAATTGAATCGTTTATTTGAAGTGTCGAATGAAAACAAACCTTTCTCTAGCACTCGATAGAGAGATCGAAGTAAAACAGGAACAAAAACAAAAACAAATTCAATTGTTTTTTTCGTCTTCTGTTGTTGTTTGTTGACTCGACTCATACCCATGGTGTCTCTTTTGTGTGCTTGCAATCGTTTACGCATCATTTCATGTGCAGAAACGACAACAGTCGATGATAGTTGATTATGCATCGGCACGACCATCTAAAACCGCTTGATTGATAAATTTACAATATCAAAAAGGCAACAAGCAGTGCAAATGTGTAAAAGCGACTTTGCATGGGGAAAATATGCAAATTTCTGTCTACAGCATGATGATACGAACAAGTTGTAAAAGTGTAATCAAACGGAAGTGCACTTTTCTGCAACCCGTTAAAATAATTCGCCATCCAAAGATGTGTAGTAACAAAAAATTTAATCGCATCATCACATCAAAAGCGAGAGCATCACCCGAAAAATAAAACTAGAGCTAGAGAGATTATATCAACAAAAGCCGAATGCAATAGAAAGATGAATAAAGCTTACTCTATTGAATAAAGTTGAGAAAATCGCGAATATTGCTATTGCAACCGGAAAACAACAGAAAAAAAGAACGGATTCAACCAATAGTGAATGGGGATTTATTCTCAAAGGGATTTTACGTAAAAATTCGCAAAAATTTAACATAATACAAAGTTACACGCGTCTTATTACTCATTCTATGCATACTTTAGCGCTTGTAGTCTCAACATCTAGATGAATCGAATAATGATACGTCAATAGTATTGAGAAGCCCGACAGGCGAACAAGAAACAATGCCAACAAGCCGAAATTCAAAGCCCGAATCAAATTGATTGACGGAAAACTTAACAAAAGCGATTTTTGTTATGTTTTCCTTTTTCGATTGCTTGTGATTCACAAACGCGAATTCTAACCAAATCTACGGCATCGAAATTCGGATATGTGTTCCATGCACGGTGCGAAATGCCGAGGCGAGAGAGAGCAATACACGGGAACATCAATGGGCAAAAGCCAGAGTGATGGAGAAGGAGAGAGAAGACAAAAAATGGTATTCGCATTGTAATAGTTTCTTTTGTTTGAGTTGATGTTGATGTGTTTGATGTGATTGTTGTTGTTGGACCTCTTGTTCCTCTTCGGAATGGTTGTTTTTTTTCGCTCTCAGTTTTTTCCGTCGATTTTGTTTTCATTTCATCAGGAAAAGTTTTTAATTCTTTCGACTCGTCTCTCTTGATGCCATTGTTTTGTGTGCATTTCATTCGTTGTACAAATAAATGCGATCAATGTTTTTTTTCTGATATTTTCCTCTTTGAAATTCAATCTTTCCTTTATATAGTTTTTATCCCCTATTTCGATGATGCCATAGTAGCAACTATTCCAATTCCATGCTGTGGTGCGTTATGTGAATTCGAATGTGACTGCAAAGTTTCGAATCATTTGTTCGCATTTAATTTTCGTTCCTTATCGGGGCTAAAAATGTTGAACTTTCTCACATTTCGTGCATTTTGATTGGTCGAACTTTATCGATATTGTCGATATTTCGGTTCGTAAATGATCGAATCAATGAAAAGATATTCGGTTCAACGAACCCATTTGATGGATGCACTCAGAAGAAAAAATGGAATGTTACTTGGAATTTAGCATTCAAAAT